AAAAAAAAAAAAAAAGGGGGGGGATACCCCATCTGTTTCTCGCAGCCAGAACAAAAACTTACTGAAAAATAAATGGGCCAGTTTTTAAGGCATCTCAAAACCCACTTGTTGCTTTTCCTAGTACGCTCAAATAGTTGGGGGGCACAGGACTGGCAAATTGATCAAAGCCAACAGCGGTGGGAGAGTTTTTTGTCATCAGAAGACTTTTTGCCCATATGGCTTAAAGCAGGGGTCCCAATCTGGGGTGCAAGATGGAATTTCAGGGGGTGCGACAATTTTATGCACTGTGTTAAAAGTTTATTTTTTCAAAGTTCAATTTGTTCACCCGCATTAGAAATCAGACTTCTTCATCTTCAAAAATGATATTACTTCTGTAGCGGGTGCGAACATTCATCCAACATTTCCTAGGGGTGTGGGGCATAGAAAAGGTTGGGAACCCCCGGCTTAAAGTCAAGTACTGTGCAAGCTAATAACAATCAAAAAATATTCGTCCTTGTCTCACCAGACTAGGAGAGCAAGCTTTGTGAAAAGGATAGCCAAACAAGGCACAACCGAAGAGGTTAGATTTAAAGTTCAGGAGACAAACTCACCTGCTTGATGTCTTTGTTCCTTGGATTTCTCAGGGAACAAACTCTGGAAGTTTCTGGTGCTGCTCCCACCTTCCCAGTGGAGAAATGTTATGGGAGGCCTCTCATTCATGTGGTCTCTGCCAGCCCCAGATCTGGAAGAGAGAGGAGGATTCAGACTATTTGGGCAGGAGGACCGTCTCTTCACCTTCCCTCCCAACCACCAGAAGATCATCTTTGTACTGCAATTGTCCATCTGCCCCCTAGAGGAAGACAGGGGACATTACAGGAGCATCAGCATTGATCTAACCCAGTATGCTGTAGTACAGATGTGTGTTTTTTTTAATCCATTTAATCGTATCCAATTCTTGGAGATTGCCTGGACAAGGCCCTGCAGTTTTCCTGGCAAGGTTTTTCAGAAGGGGTTGGCCCTTGCCTCCTTCCCAGGGCTGAGAGAAAGGGACTGGCCCAAGTTCACCCAGCTGACTTTGTGCCTAGGCAAGATTAGAACTCAGGGTCTCCCAGTTTCTAGCCTGATGCCTTAACCACGACACCAGACTGGCTCTTGGTACGCTGTAGTGCAGATGTAGGTAAAAATAAATACAGCATCATAGAAACCTGGTGTTCTTTATGGACCTCCCTCTAAGGTGGGGTTGGCAATCTTGGACTTCTCCCTGGGCGTGTTGACTCACAACTGAGGTCCTGTGTTCCTGCTGTTTTGAAGGGGGAATGCAATGAAAAGAGTCCAGCCAAGTCATAGATAAATTGCACTTTAACAAAACCACAAAGAAAACCCACAAATCCTGCTCATCTCATCCAGTGGGGTGATGTGGGGCCTCCCATTTTGCTGGCTCTCAGAGCCCTCTCACTGTTATGGGGTGTCCCTGGCCTCCAGATGTTTGACACACACACACCCCACTTCTAAGAAAACATTTACTTTAATTTAATTTATTCAGTTTAGGCAGCACTTGATTCTGAACCAACTCTGGGCGGTGTACAATAAAACTAACAGGATAGAAAGGTCAGTATGATAACTGTAAAGGAAATCAGAAGGAATTTTTTTTAAAAAATTAAAAGTTTTAGGAAAAGACTCAGAAGCAGGGACTTTCAAGGCTGAGAGGTAGGGGCAAAGTTCTTCATTTGGGAGCCTCTGTTTCTCCAGTTCTTACTCCTTTCTTTCACTCCCTCCCTCTCCTTTATGCCCATTGAAATCAATGGGCCAGGAATTGGGGACTCCTACACTCCCAAAGCTTGGAATGATTCCGTATTAATCTCTACAGCGTAACAATCCACTCCCTACTAGATTTTTTTGGGAGGAGTTTAACTCTTGGCTCCAGATTCCTGGTGAAATGAATAGAGTGAGCTCAGCGCTGTTGCTTTCGTGAGATACGGCCGTTCTTCCTTCCAGAAATGATTTCGTGTTATGATTTATTCAACCCCAGAAGGAATCTGGCAGCATCTTTTTCCGGCTAGCCCATCTCATTAAAAGGCATCAGCGTTCACAAGCTGCAGCTCAGAAAAGGCGATGCCTTCTAATCAAATGTGTTCGTCGGAAAACATGTGGGCAGATTTCTGAATTTTGTCCCCATAGATCAGGGTTTCTCAACCTCAGCAGCTTTAAGATGGGTGGACTTCAACTCCCAGAATTCCCCAGCCAACTTAGAGCAGTGTTTCTCAAACTTGCCAGCTTGAAGACGTGTGGACTTCAACGCCCAGAATTCCCCAGCCAGTTAGCGCAGTGTTTCTCAACCTCAGCAGCTTTAAGATGGGTGGACTTCAACTCCCAGAATTCCCCAGCCAACTTAGAGCAGTGTTTCTCAAACTTGCCAGCTTGAAGACGTGTGGACTTCAACGACGAGAATTCCCCAGCCAGTTAGCGCAGTGTTTCTCAAACTTGCCAGCTTGAAGACGTGTGGACTTCAACGACGAGAATT